AGGATGTTCAGGCTGGCCCAGCTCCTCACATGGCTTCCTTTCCTCCCAGACCACAGTGTCATGGGCACTGTCATCCTTTTCAGCCCAGCAGCTGTCTCCAGGCTCCACCCAACAGCCTGTACGCTGCACCAGTCTGTGCCCCGCCGTGTGGCACCACATTGTACCGGGAGTGCATACATCAATTCTCTCAACACCATTTCATAGACTGCTCTTTGGGACAGACTGCTTGGATTTACGTTCTACTTCTCAAATCTCAAGATGATGGTTTCCCCATCTTACCTTTGCACACTCCACCTACCATCAACGCTGGGTACCTGAGAGTCCACCCTCTCTTTGAGCTTCTGGCTTCCAATTCTCTGCAGGAATATCAAAGGCCAATTTTTTTTTTTTCCTTGAGACAGAGTCTCGCTCTGTCGCCCAGGCTGGAGTGCAGTGGAGTCATCTTTGCTCACTGCAACCTCAGCCTCCCAAGCTCAAGCAATTCTCTGCCTCATCCTCCCAAGTAGCTGGCATTACAGGTGCCCACCACCATGCCCAGCTAAGTTTTTTGTATTTTTAGTAGAGACAGGATTTCACCAGCTTGGCCAGGCTGGTCTTAAACTCCTGACCTTGTGATCCACCTGCCTCAGCCTCCCAAAGTGCTGGGATTACAGGCATGAGCCACCGCGCCTGACTCAAAGGCCAATTCTTATCAAAAGTATTAGCTTTCAGAACCGTCAGTGAAGCCGTAAGTGTGGATACCTATAAAGAAGTTTACAATATTGAAGAGTTCACTAAACACATCTACTTTTACCTTCAAGGTCAGAGGTGGCATGGCCTGATGGGGTCTTTTTTGCTGATACCTAAGACCGTTTTTGTGGTACAGAATGGGCTCACCAGGAAGGAATGAGTGGCACACTCTACATCATGGGTGAACCTCAAAAACTTGAGATACGGGAAGAAAGCCAGACACAAGAGATCGCATATTGTGTGATTCCTTTTCCATGAAAGATACTGAAAAAGCAAAGGGCAGAGAGTAGTTGCTTGAGGCTGGAGTGGGCATAGAGAGGTACTGTGAGTGGCATGAGGGAGCTTATTGGGGGCATAAAAATGTCTTGAAACTTATTTTTGGTGATGACTGCATCACTCAGTAAAGTTACTAAGATTCATTGAATTGGATACCTGAAATGGGTGAGTTTTATGAGATGTAAAATATGCATCATTGCAAATATACCTCAATATTTTCATATTTAAATATACTTTTTTGTTACAAAAAAGAATGGGGCTCACGGTAGACATGGGAACTTACAAGTTTTAACTTGTAGTTTGGTTATAAGGGAACTGAGAAGTCTTAGTTATGGGAGAGGTACTAGAATTCCGGAGGTGACTTTAACTTCAGATTAGATTCTAGAATCAGTTTGTAAAATAGAGTCATTTATTAATTTGTATTTTGACAAAAAGTTCATTAACACCTTTCATAATATTCTATCTTGTGGAAAAAAGTTAGGAGGAACCTGACTGTGTATGTGGTATTACGACTTCAAAGGAGCTTGGTCTCTGTCTCTCTCAGAGGAAAGTTTTAATGTGCTCATAACTTATTATAGACCCTTTTCAGACATTTTGATTGTTTCCTACTTCTGATTTGCCAAATACCACATTGACCATCTTTGATGCACTTATTAATGCCTTGAGATACCTCTTAGAAATTGAATTTTGGGGTCCATGGGGATGCACTCTCAATAGTTGTTTATTGTCCAGCTCCCAAAAATCTACCTGTGCCATCATGCAGGATTGGAGTGGTGTAGATTTACATTAAATGTGAGTCCAAAATGTGATCTGGCTGCAGGAATTTACATGATTGTGGGCTTAGTCACGGGATATATCCTGACTCTGCGATATGCAGATAATACCTGGGGTATTGGTTTTTATCCTGGGTACCAGGCATTCAGAGAGGCTGGCTACCTGACTATGTGCTGAGGCAATGGCCAAGATGGGACCCTGCGTGTTACGAGAGATAATTGAGGTACGCAAGGGATAGGTGCCTGTGAGAAATCTGGAAACCCTGTGATTAACTTTCTTCAAGTAGTTGAAGAGCTGCCCTGTCAAGAGAGATTCCATTCACTTTGTATGATTTTAAGGGCAGAATCAGCAGCAATGGTTGGAAGTTCCCGGAAGGCAAGCTTTGGTTTAATGTAAGCAAGCCTTGTCTAACAGAACAGTCCGAAAATAGATTGGGTCCCCTCAGGAAACAGTGACTCCTCTTCCCTCGACATCCCTGGAGATGCTCCAGCAGGGACCACGTGTCATTTGGATGAAGAGGTGTGGCATGTACATGCAGGGAATTTATCATAAGTGTTTGATTTGGAGACCTCTGGGGAAATGACTATGAGACTGTGAACTTGACATCACAGCTCTGATTATGACAGTCTACTGTGAAGCCAGATGAAAATATTCTGACCCCGTGCTGTGGCTCACGCCTGTCATCCCAGCACTTTGGGAGGCTGAGGTGGGCGGATCACCTGAGGTCAGGAGCTTGAGACCAGCCTGGCCAACATGGTGAAACCCTGTCTCTATTAAAAATACAGAAATTAGCTGGGCATGGTGACATGTGCCTGGAATCCCAGCTACTCTGGAGGCTGAGGCAGGAAAATCGCTTGAACCTGGGAGGCGGAGGTTTCAGTGAGCTGAGATCTCCTCCAGCCTGGGCAACAGAGTGAGACTCCGTCTCAAAAAAAAGTTTAAAACAAGAAAATATTCTTTTTGCAAACACCAGTCTTTGAATTGTGTCTTAGAACAAGAAAGTAACTCTTGAACCTTCTACTCTTATACTTGCTACACTCAGATCATTGTTGATAAGCGTTTCTATTTCAGCTGATCTTTGACATTCAGTTCAGTTGTTGGCGTAGCTGTGTGAGGAGGTGGGCTTTCTCGGTTGTTTTTGTTTTCCTTGTATCTTTTGCTGTTTTCCAACCATAGGTCTCAGATTTTAACATTCTCCCAAATGGTCAAGATAAAGAGTTGGTTTTCACATACTCATCATTTATGCAGGCTTTTTTATCTTTTTTTCCTTCTTCTTTTCTTTTTTGTAGAGATGAGGTCTCGCTGTGTTGCTTAGGCTGGTCTTGAACTCCTGGGCTCAAGCAGTCCTCCCACCTCTGCCTTCAGAAGTGCTGGGATTATAGATGTGAGCCCCATCCCTGGCCTTTTTTTTTTTTTTTAATTTGAATATTGCTTTCAACTTATTAAAAGCTGAACTGTACTTGCAATGTTTCTGAATATTGCCTATGTTATAACATTGTTAACTTTTCCATTTAAGAAATAATTCATGTTTTAATTATGTCTTTAATTTCTTAGCTTATATTTTCCTTGTTCTGGTATTGATACATTGAGATGAGAAAAATAACAAGAAAGATGACAAACAAAATCCATAAGAATCTGTAAGAAAAATGCTCGTCTAACTTTAATGTTTCTTAAGTACAGCTGATAAAATAATAGCCTGACCTCTCACCCTGCATAGCGTGATCTGGCAGACCGCAGAAGGGCCCCTGGGAGCGGGTTGGAAATGCAGTCTCCAGCTCCTCCCCAGGGCCACTGCATCAGGACCTGCATTTGAAAAGTTGAGCTTCCTCTCCGGTGGCATGCTGCAGAACCTATGGGTCATAGTCATCGTCGCACCTTTTTGGTTTTGGTTTTTTAGCAGCCATGAAAAAGTACCTGGCATTGTGCCTGGGTTTTGTTTTTTGTTTTTTGGTTTTTTTTCTACAGGCATGAGCCCATTTAATCCCTACGACAACCCTCTAAAGGAAGTGTTATTAGAGGCTCAGAAAAGTTGTCACTGGGCTTGCCAAAGGTGTCACTGAATGATGCTTTCTGGAGTCTGCGTGTCCAAAGCCTAAGACAGGAAAATTGAGGTGCAGCTCCAACTTGCACACCCTTTGCTTCCCGTGGCCAGCGGGATGCCTTGGGAGAACTGCAGAGGCTGCCTTAGCCCCGGCAGTGGGAGGCAGCTCCGTCCCCAGCCTCTGACCATTCACGGTCCACTTGCAGCCTGGTATAAAGGCACCAGGACGAAGTCAATCCTGACAAACCCTAGGAGGCCGCACATCTCATCCGTAAGCAGGGCTTCCGGAAGCGTTGATTAGAAAAGAAGTTCAGAGGCCCAGACACTCACACTTCTCAGGGGTCACCTACAACCACATAGGCTATGGGTGTATAGCTTCCTTTTTTTTTTTTTTTTTCATTTGAAAGAATAGATATTTATTAGAAACCAGGTTTGATCTGTTTCTGACGCTTTTATAACATACTGTTTTCTTGGATTCTACGTGACAGGGGAAATAAAGTCGATGCTGAGCAGTGATCTTCAATCATAAAATAATATTTCTGTTTTCCTGCATAATTTCCTCTTGTGTTCTCAGATAAGAATAAACCTGTTCTTGTCATACTGTTTGCACATCTGAAAATGACAACCTGTTTGCCAGTAGTAAACTCACAGCTTGGAAAATGATAGGATCCCAAGTTTCCCCAAAAATGTGAGGTACTATCAACCAGGCTGGGGAAAAAAAAAATACAGAGGTTATCATTATATTTATATAAAAACATGCCACTTAGCAAAAGAAATGCTGATAAAGCAAAATTAGTGAAATAATTAGGATCAATTTATGTACATTCATCTACCTACTTTGCACTTGGATTGAAGTCCTAGATTGGATCTTTAAAGGAGGGAACATTCTAGAACCCACCATCCTCTCCTGTTACTGTCACAAGATTTTTTTCCTTCATTCTTTTAAAATCAGGGCCACATTTCAACTCCCTGCCCACTGCCATTTGATGATATTTTTGTTTCTCTTTAGGTATCATCCTATTTTCTTTTTCTTTACCATTGACATCGGTTTATTTCATATGAATGCGTAATATATTAAATACATATGCGTTTAAAATATTGTTTTGATTTGTTTGCGAATTGTTTCTCTTAAAGGGTCTATCTGGGGAAATGAGTAATTTTTCATATCCTGTTCTTGCAGGAAGAATTTTAAATCGTTTCTCCAAAGACATTGGACACTTGGATGATTTACTGCCACTGACGGTTTTAGATTTCATCCAGGTAACGTTGAGAGTAACATCAGGATCTCAAATGGAAAACGAAAGTTCCTATTTTTTTAAGCCCTTTTCATGGGGGCTGGGGGTGGGACTCTCGGCCTGGCTGTGTGTAATGTTAACTTAATAAAAGGCCATGTTTGTAAAAGAAAGGTGCGGTTATAATTCAGAGGCTAAGTTGGCGTGAGTAATACCTTGTGTGTGGGAGTGGCTATACAGTCTTGTCGGGGTTAGTTTGAAGCAGCTTCATGCTTGGTAAGTGGCTCTCTGTCTGCCTCTAGGTATCTGGCATGGATTGTGCTTTACTGTGAACACATTTCATAATATAGAAACAATCACCTCTCACGGAAAGATAGCCTAGATTAACTAAATTATGCATTGTATTACCACAAAGGCAAATACTTAGGCACTTTTTTTTTTTTGGATAGAACCAGGTGTGGTTACTTACAAAGAAAAGATTAGTAATAATAAGGTGAAAATAATACTTTATTAACAAGGACAATAGAGAGCAGTTATTGCGGATACAAAGCCTTTAAAGGCAAGGGTATCTAAGCCAATTTGAGTACAGGATCAAAGTCAACTCAGAAAATGTCTTTTTTGTTTTCACACGTTGATTGCTCTAAGTCTTAAGCTGTCTTTAAAAAGGAAAAACCAACAATCCTACAGAAATACCTTCTGTAAAGCGTTTCTTTTGTTTGTGAACTTGAGGCTCTAAAGAATAATGCTGGGTCATCTCCTCTCTCATCTCCTTATTCAGTACTCTTGCTCATGTGGTTTGGTTTTACTTTATTTTTTCCTGTTGTTTAATTTTGTCTGCTTGTCAGTGGTTCAAGCTGGGGCACTTTTTTTTTTTTTTTTCCCCAAGTGTTTATTTTGGAAATGCATCTATTAAAAGCTATACATATTCCAAAATCTCAGCTGCTGTGGCTAACACTTTATGAAATTTGAACCTCTTTGAGTTTTTCTAAGTGCCAACTTACAGTAGTTCTAATCATTAGGTGAATTTAAGGCCATTAAGTAGAAATACTACAGTTGGGGTCTGCAATTTTGGCTTGATCCTGTGGTCCCCCTACCCCTGCTTTTTTCTCAATGCTCAGATGCTTTAGATCTCCTCTGGAGCCACTGTTGTAAAAGGAACCAAAATTACTTAATTTGGAAAATTAGCTTTGTAAGAAAAGCCAGTCACAGGCTTGAAATGCTTATAGGAATTCCTGTTTGTCACACAGCAAGGCAGCAAAGGAGCATGTGACTGCAAACAGCATAGCCCGTGGGCGAAGGCATCCACTGTTTACTGAGGCGAAGTAAGCTGAGACTCACAGGTGGATTATTTTTACTGCAAACAAGGACCTCTGATTTTTTTTTTCTTTTGCAAACATTTTTAAAATGTGCCCTCCTGGGTTTAGCTATATTATTTATCCCTCAGACGCCGTCACTAGAACAGTTGCCCGGTTTTCACAGAATGCAGATGATTGTCTGTACACGTTTTGACAGGGATTGTTAATTACTTCAAGAAGATTTTGTGAAAGGTTCTGTTTCTTTGCAACTGCAAGCTAGGCAGAGGTTGAATTTCCGAAGCTGGCTGGCCCACTATGTGCTTAGCAGAGTGAGCGGTCATAATTAGAATCCCTCGTGTGCTTTGTCTCACATATGGAGGCAGAGGAATGGATGCTATTTGATGTCAATGTAAAACATTTCTTAGCAGCATGAGGAGGGAAAATTCTAGTCTCGTTGTACTTCTATTTAACCAGAGAGACAAGGGCATTTTTTATTATCCACTCACATAACCTTGGTAAACTTAACATTGTGGAATCTTACTGGCCCCAATTAGCTGATTTCTTGAATCTACAGCAGAGGTTAAATCCTAATGTTATTGTCTCCAAGAAAGGAGTTTTATCTAAAGGATAACTCAGTTATCAATTATGATAAAGATCTATTGTCACTTGTTTTGTTTGCAGGTGTCTTTAATAAGGCCTCCCATAATCCCTTCAGGAAGAAATATTTTCTCCTTTTAAAAATAGTATTAGCTAAATATAAAAGCTCTGGTCCCTGCCATTGTTGTTGATTCTTTGAGGGACATTTCCCAACATTCATTGTTTAAATGGTTGTCAGGAGGAATCAAGTGAAACGTGGTAAACAATGCCGTAACTGGTTCATCTTACTTTGTGTGCCGAGCCTTTCTGCTGGGGATTTGCATTCGATGAGTGGGCTTTTGACTGAGGTATCGCCAGGATCATTTTGAAGTATTTGGGCCTGTTGCTATATTAGGAAGTGAAAATTTTTTATTAAAGCCACACACCCAAAAAAATGCATTTAACCTGCCCTCAAATAAAGGCCAACAAAAATCTAAATGTAATTTTTTTTTTTTTAAGTTGCCTGGGCCTCTGTAAGGATGAAAGCAGCCCAGTGGTGTTCTGGGACTCTTAATGGAATCATGTAAACTTAAAATAAACACTATTATGGTAAGCACATAGAATGAAAACTAATTTTCCAAATCAAATACATTATATTCAATTCATTTTCCCCAATCAACCAAATGTTTAAAACCTGTTAGTTAGAACAGCAATCTTCTGGAAATTAATTAGAAGCCTATTAGCTCTGCTAGCTGAGCCGAATGAAGGGGGTTGCTCAGTACATTTCTAAGTAGTCTCCTGAATTAAAGCAAAGCAAGGTCAAAATGACAGTTAGCTTTGTTCACCTCATGGCTTTGCTTGAAGTCGTTGATCTTTTTTGGGGGGAAGGAGGGGGGTGTTTTGTTTTGCAAAGGAAATTTTGTCTACTTTGACTCAGTTCTGTGATAAATTTTTAAAATTAATTTCTAGTACCAGTCGGGTGAGCCATACAGGGAGCATGATCTTATCTGTGTGAATAGTAGCCTTCTCCATTGCATGGGTATCTGAAATGAAGTTGACTTTTAGGCCTCTTGTCTACCGCATCAATTCTTCTACAGGGTTTATTTAGCCCCTTTCAAAATTCAGATAGTAGGAAATTTCCTGGATGACTTTGTGTTTAATGTCATTAGCAAAACGTACTTCGAACGTCAGGGCCCTGGGTTTTGATGGCTCTCATCAGGTTCAGTGGGTGATAATCACAGTGACTAGCAGTTCCTCCTACGCCCAGAGAAACTCACAGAAAGTGGGCCCTTAACCCAGCAGCTGAGATTGACTGAAACAATTGAGTTTAAAAAAACTGGGAATTTCTTTGTCAAGATGTTACCCTTGGTGTTATCTAGCTGACTGATCGACAGGGGAACTACGTATCTTCAGTACCAACTACGGATGGTATTCCTGAGCCAGAAAGAACTTTGGCAGGATGTATAGTAACAAACAGAATGAAGATTAAAATCCACAGAAAAGTTAGGTATCTTCATGAAGAGGTAGTTGAAACTTTGCACTTACCAGAAGGTTCAGGCTAAGACTGCTGAGTTGTTATTCTTACTAAAGCTGAGATTTAAAATCAAATAGCTATAGAAATAAATAATGTAGTTGCATTTATCCATGTGACTTTTTTTTTTGAGATGGTCTCACTCTGTTACCCAGGCTGGAGTGCAATGGTATGATCTCAGCTCACTGCAACCTTCGCCCCCACACCAGGTTCAAACGATTCTCATGCCTCAGCCTCTGAGTAGCTGTGATTACAGATGACCACCACCACTCTAAGCTCATTTTGTATTTTTAGTAGAGACAGGGTTTTGCCATGTTGCTCAGGCTGGTCTCGAACTCCTAACCTCAGGTGATCCACCCACCTCGGCCTCCCAAAGTGATGGGATTACAGGCGTGAGCCACTGCACCCGGCCTCAAGTGACCTTTTTAATCCAGAGCATTCATGTTTGATTACGTTTTCTGTATGATGGTGATCGTTCTATTGGTTTTATAAGTAGGAGTCTGGAACTGTAGACCATTGGGTCCGAACTGAACTGTTTCCAATTGAGTTTGCCAAAGACTGGAGGGGTAGATCTGAGAGGAGAACCCTCTGCTTGTGGCTCAATGTCTAGAATGTAGGCTCTGTAGAAGCAAGTCTGAAACCATGCACAGATTTTATTACTCCCCTGATGAAATTGCTAAGCTAACGAAATTCTGGTTTACATGTGACCAGATTTGCTGGCCAGATAGAGGCAATTAACCTAACTTTGATTTTTGGACTTCAATAAAATATTTGTATTTGCGAGTTTTCATTTGTTTTTATATAGTTAGCTGTTGGCATTCATTGCCAATGGGGAACAGTGACACCAGTAATTTAAAAGTGGGTGTCATTTGCT